AAACAAAGAAACATGAAGGGAATAGCTGATTAATCTGCTGAGTACTACCACTGCCTTTTTGTTGGTAACTACAGTTCAGAAAAAGAGCAAATATCAAGATTTTTGTGAGTATTTTCATAACACTGTGGTTTCATAAAACCATATACGGTATTCAAAGGAATAATTAAGAAAGCAATTGCCAGGGAAATCACTCACTTTTAGTTGCACCCTAACCTTTTTTTGTTACATGATCTAAAACACTTTAATCTTAACGCAGGCACATTTTTTGCACTAAAAACATAGAAACTAAAGTGAACTTAAAAACACTTTTCAACCGAAGTTCTTGAAGAACCTCAAAATGATCCATCAAACTGGCTCATAGCTGCACTAACTGGATTTCTCTATAGAGGCTTGCTGAGACATCACTCTCCAGTGTCCTTTAACCTGCAGGCAGGTAGGCTGGACTCTGCAGGCTATAGTCCGGGCAGACTTTCTGAACCAGTCTGTAGTCTGTGCTGTAGAAAGACACGTAGATGCAGATGACCTGGAAAGGCCTGGAGCACATCCAGGTGACGTGGCTCTGGGTGTGCTCCTGATCACATGTCTTTGATGGGTCGTAGTTGCACAGCATCACCTTCTTGTTGCGTTCGGTTTTCTCGGAGTCCACTCTGCAGTTGAACGTCTTTGAATCCTTGGGGTGGATCACGCTTTGGCGCTCCAAGTCGAACTCCACCTCTTTCGTCGGAGGCATGAGGCTGACGGACACATTGCCTACCCCCGTGGAGTTGTGGCGGAAGTAGACGCCGAGAGACCCGTTCCCATGATCCACAATCTTCCCCAATATCAGCAAATTCAGTTTGACCGTCTTTATATTTGAATAAAAGTCCCCCCAGATGAAGGTCTCGGACCATTTAGATGTTCCATGAACTTTCATGATGGGCTGAAGCTTCATCTTTAATGATGGGTTTGAGTGCGGCTGTGAGTTTCCTCCAAGTATTTCCCCAAATCCCTGCTTTGAAAGAGGGATGAAGGGGTTACGGGGCAGCTTGGTGTGCTGAGTTAGACTCCTGGACTGAAGCACAGAGTTCTTCTGCTGCGAAGAAGCCTCGTGAGCCCTGCTGGGATGAGGCGGTGCTCTCTTGGTGAAGGTAAAGTTGCTGTGTGTCTGGTGTGGTCCAAGAACCAACTAGAAAAATAAGCACAGGACAAAGTTATAGACTGACCCCATCGGGAAGTAAACTAAGTGCTAGCATGAACGATAAAAAACAAATCAACAAAAAAAAAAATCCCAAACGCTTTGGAAATATTGTCTCAGAATTGCTTCAATTAAATAGAATCTCATTTGAAAGAACTGTTGAGTTTTTGAGAAGTATTCTTAATATTGTCAGACTCACACACCACACAAATATTGTTAAACCTCACTCAGCATGTTTTAAGAAACTTAAGTCTGCAAAGAAAGTCATCATTAGGATAATGCATCAAATCTAAAATATGTAGAACTTGAAATATTTTCAAAACCCTCTTAAAATGCAGCATAACTCAACTTTGAATGTATAATGTGTTTAATGCTACCATTCATGTCACTCACCAGACATATGGTTCCTTTCAAAAGTATCCAAGCAAAGCACTGAAAGCCAATCTTCTCCATTGTGCATAACCTTCACGAGCCATCCACTGCTGCGTTTCATTCAGGCAAAGCGAACTTTCCGATATCCTAAACAGACACTTTCTTTAAACTCTCTCCCAACTGGAAACCTTCACTGTGCTGCTGCTTCCCCTCACAACACACAGACTGGGAGGCTTTCTCAGAGCTCAAGATTTTGACACCCAGTTTTGCTCTCTCTCTTTCTCCCTCCCCTTCAATCCTCCCTCCCTCCCCCTTTCACACACACATAAACACACACCCTTCTGTTT